TATTGAGCCCCCTCTCTCCAATAAGCCCTCCCTCAAACGTGCCTGAAATAAATAAGCCCCCCGGGGGGCTAAATAGAGGATTTACGGTAATTGTGGTTTATTTTGTGTAAGAAATGGTGAATCGTGTACTCACTTCCACATTGTCCACATGTACGTTGACAGTAGTTACGGCCAACGGCAGTATGGCACTGGTGATAGGTGCTCTTCAACCTTCTACAGCTGAGGGAGGAGAGTTTATCGATGCACACTACAGAAGATTATACAAAAACATTAGACGAATGCTAGTAGAACATTCAATTTTTTATTTTTTATTTTTTGAATTAGAATGTCGACACAGCTTCTATACACACAGCCGAGAAACGGCGAGATATGTTATTGCAGTGAAATTGGAAGACAGAGCTTAATAAATAGGGAGAAAATGATGTATGGCTAAAGATATCATAATGGGCAGGATGTCATGATTGCAATTGAATCAGGGCTCATGTGCTTGGCGAGGTCTCGAGTTCAATTCCTGAGCTAGCTCGGAAGTCACTTGGGAGTAGAGTATTTTTTAGTTGAAGGGTTTTACAAATTAAATTTCCAATTCGAACTTTGAGTTGCCTGTGCTATGACTCTCATAGAATAAAGTATGAAAATCAGCACAGAACTGAGTTTTTTTCAGGGCAGTAATCAAAACTACAATTCATAGCAGTGACCAGTTATAATCACTATTATATTTAAGCAATGGTCAATGCTTAGCGTGCGTGAACTATTGATGGTGCACGCGGATAGTTGGGAGAGCACGATGGTAGCGTAAGAGTTGCACGAGGCGGAGCTGAGAACAACTTTACATGATCAAAGCTGTTTATTTCGCTCTGATCAAATCACAGATTCTCCCAAGTCTCGTGTACGGAGCAAAAACAGCGCAATTTGTATTTTAAACTTCATTTTAGAAACTTTTTCCGAGAAAATTCATGCAAGGGAAACAGTTCCCTTGCAAGAAAAACTGAAAAACTGCACCAAATTGACGTCACCAGCGTGCTCCATACGAGTGCTCCATGCATACACCGTGCGTGCTCCATACGAGTGCTACATGCTCCATGCGTACACCTTCAAGTGTTTTTTTTTTTTCTCCTTCTTTTTCTTTTTAATTCATTATTTTTTTGTTATTGTCGCCTTTAAAAAATGTAAATGATATCGACTGGTTCATTTTCTTATTGACGAAAAAAACAAAATTTCAGCAAGCGTGCAACTCGCTACTAATGAGTTCGAGGTTATTTCACATAAATAGGCGAAATTTTAAGGTTTTTTTGGCCATCTTCAAGGCCTCTCAAAAGGTATGGCCGTTAAAGGATTACAGCTCTTCCTACTATTTTTTAACACATAGTTTGATGTTATGTCGTTTTAGTTGTCGCGTTAAAGGGTGGATTAGTAACAACAACACTATTTATTTGGTAGAAAGTACCTTTGGTGTCCCCCATAGTGCCATCTGGTGGACCAGAAGAATCTAGTGGTAAATGCAGAACAAATCAAATGAAAAACTACCGAAAATCAAAGTAATATTCTAGTAAAGGATTTGATGGAATGTTAATGCTACTGAATATCTGGACGCGGAAACACCTCATCCTCAAAGGAATGAGCCACCACAAGAGCACCCAGGAACAAGGCTGCAATCAGATAGATCTTCATGGTTTTAGTACTAGGTTTTTGGTCTCGTCTTCAGCAGGAGTTACAACCCAATGATGCAGCTGTTCAAAGTCACCCTTTTTATACCATCAGATAGGAACAGGAACATGACACGTCAAATAGTGGGTGGGTTCTTATTTCTTTATTCATACTCTCGTATTCTTTAGAATCTATAAAGTCTTGTCACAGTTGCTTGATTCCATTTCATTCAAAGTAAAAAAAAAACAATTGAATTAAAGACGCCGAAAAAATAATGAGTTTTATATAACATTAAGAATTGAATTGGATTCTTGAAATTTAGGTTTTTGGTCTCGTCTGCAGCAGGAGTTACAACCCAATGATGAAGTTGTTCAAAGTCACTCCTTGTTATACCATCAGATAGGAATACGAACTTGACACGTCACAAAGGGGTGGGTTACTTTGTCTTCATGACTTCACATGTTTTTTGTATCCTAGTTGCTTGATTCTATTTTATTCCAAGTAAGAAAACACTTGAATTAAAGACGCCGAAAAATCAATGAGTTTTATATAACTTTAAATATTGTGTTGGATTCCTGAAATTGCTCACGAACGAGGAAAAGCTTATATAATTTTCAGATAAAACAAAGTTGTTTGCCTTCATGTATTGGAAACATTATATCTTTTGCTGACAGGCTTGACAAAATATGTTTTTAGAGGTTTGTGCTAAAATAAACTAAGGCAATAACGTTGTGTGAGCTTACATAGGAATCCACTTTTTTTAAATATCCCATGGAAATCAAGGAATCAAAAATTTAAAAAATGTTAACATCGGTTTATTTACTTTAGCATTTCTTCTGATCGACCGGTATGTTATTTCACCAAAGAATATTTGCAAAAAGGTTGTAGTATACATTTATACAAATACCTAATGAGATGCAAGATATCAAATGAGATGCAGAATATAAAACATGCTTAAATACGACTGCTTAGCGACTTTTACGACATTTTGTGGAAAATGCTCTTTTTACTTAACTTTGTGCTACACTTATGTCTCTGATGCATACATAATATAGAAGATAAATAAGTCACCTCGTTTTATACCGTTAGACAGGAACATGAACTTGACAAGTAACATATAAGGAGTGGGTTCTTCATGAGTAAATTCGGCAAACTTTTCATTTTTTTAAATCCTTTAAAAGTCTTCAAAGTTGCTTGATTCCATTTTGCCCAAAATAAAAAACACTTGAATCAAAAACGCCGGAAATCAATATACTTTTATACTTAAAGGTATTGATCTTTTTTTTTCTTTCTTTTTTTTTTTTTTCGGTCCCTGTTGACCAGGTTAGTAATAAAGAATGCTATTTAAAAATATCAATATTTAGTCTTTTTTAAATTGAAAATTTACATTCTTGTTCATTGCAATGAGTTAAGAATCAGTAGCTTCAGCAAAGAACTATTTTCCACTACTCCTTGGTATAAACAATTCATCATCAAAACAGCTAGGAAATGCTTATAGACTAACGTCTGATACATGAAGGGGTTGTTTTGGGAATAATCATCAGCTACTTTGTTCCGTTGTTGAGTTTTGAAGAATATTAGGAAATAAAGAAACATACGATTACTAATTGCATTTATAATTATAGTATGGTACTTGGAATGGAATCAGAATTAATCAATGTCACTCTGACATTTTCTAATAGCAAAAAAAAAAAAAAAAAAAAAATTGAAGGGAAGTGACTAAGGGCTCCAAAAACTCTAGAGCTTATAAATTTATTTGAAATTTCCAAAGTGCAATCGAGTAGACAAACGAAGTCGAATCTTAATTTAGTTAAGGTTCACTTACACTTTGCAAGCATGGAGGTGTGAGGGGTCTTTAGTCAGTACCATTAGAAAAGAATTTAGTCATTTAGGATTTAGAAATAGCCTTTTGGCTGATCAATATGGTCAGGGCAAGTCTACTATTCATAGATGTAGTTGGGGTTTAGTGTCTTGTACTAATATACAATGCTGAGTCTGGGAATCGAGCCCTAGACCCAAGAGGGGAGAGGCGAATTCAATACCCCTAAGCCTTGCTTTCCATATTCGACCCACCCCCCCTCTCCCCTTAATTACACACACACACACAACACACACACACACACACACACACACACACACACACACACACACACACACACACACATACTTAGAAGACTCCGCGGTTCTTGCTGAAAATCCTGTTTTAATCGGGTTGTTCTGCTAACATTGAGCAGAAAAGTGTAACGAGAGTCTTTCAAGACGAGCCAACCAAGTTAAACTATTGCAACATATTTTACTGTATGTAGCCTATAACTTCTTGTTCTATAAATACAGAATGCTTTTATTTACATTGTAATGCGTTATTCAATATGCAATATACAGCATTCGTAATAATTGAAGACAACTGACAAACTATCGATCCACTGACTAGTAAAAAAAATCGTGAAAGAGACCAAATATTTTGAAGCCAACACGAGTGCCGTCAGCCATAAATGTTATTCTTGTCTGAGCATAGAAAGGGGTTTTCAAGTTGATTACAACTACTAAGAGAGCATTTATTTTTATTAGAGGGACGGTGCCTGTGGAATATGAGCATATGAGCATTACATATGAGCCCAATTTGCTCGCCCACCCAGCTTAGTTTTAAATTTTTAAAATAGCCCCTAATGCCAAACTAAAAGAAAAAACTCCCAAGGTTATTATCAGAAAAAAAAA